TAATTTCCCCCATTGGTCGTACGCTGAATCTTCTCGTAGTGTCAGTTGAGTGGCAAGGATAGCCTCAGTGATTCGATACGTTGTTGTCATCACTAACTGATATATTCTATCACCATACATATCCTCATCTGCTCTATTGCTCCTCGCGAGTACATAAAGCAGTACCTCATCATTCTCCTCTTCCTAATGGTATTCGTCATGCGTCATCATTGGCCACGGTTATTTTCTCCAAGAGATGGCCGCTTGCTGATAGTGATGCTGTCAGTTTGTCTTTGATGCGCGTTGGCGATACCTCTCAATGTCTAGGCTCTACTGTGACTGTGAGTGTTATATATTGCTGTGTTTCATCGCCGTATGCGGCGGCGATACTGTTGTTACTGTTATGTTCCTTCGATGTGTTCTCTGATTCTAGGGAATTCAATACAGTAGTAGTTGTTGTAGCAACTGCGGTAGCAGTAGAACTTCAATACGGAGGAGTATGGTGATACTCTTATATATAAGATTCTTACTATCCTTTCCTTTGCCGGATCGTCCTTTCAGCTCTCCAGCTTTAGGCGATCTTGTATACCTTCAACGTTAGACAAGAGTCACTCCATCTCCTCCAGGTTGAGTTCGAATTCAGTCTACAGTGCTCGAATCAATTCAGGAGTTGCTTAGACTGTGTGTCCGAGGCCGAATCTTATACAAAAATACTGTCAGTGTGAAGTTCACACTGTGAACAGCGACTTGGTTATATACTATCCTGTTGGGTAATAACCTTGCTGAAAGCATTGATAAATTAACCACAGCAATGGTGGTAGACACAACCTGTGTGTTGTATGATAATGGAAAATTCGATGGCATTCGCGTTTCGGACATTTTAAAACTTACTTGCTTAGGGAAATCTTGTATTAACACCGTTCGCTACTGGCATTAAAAAATTCAGCGGTCGGACTGGAGTCCATACCTTAGATTGTGAATATCTTCGGACAGAAATATGAAATCATTGGGAGGTGTCACCAAAAAAGGCGAAAAAAAATTCTGTGGAATTCGTTCTTCCTTAAAATGAAGTAAAATCCTGTCTGACTCGAGTGTTGGTTTTGACTCGAATCATTTGAGGGCTTCGGCATCATTCGGTGAGTGCTGGGTTCTCTGCTGTGCAACGTTGCAACTAGTCTAGTGAAAGGTTCTTTGATGAAGTTGTCTGAGCGAACCGATGATGTCAACATGATCTAACGTGTTCTACACAGATGCCATCCCGAGTATAGATGGGCAGCGTAACGTTTTTTACGGTTTACGTTACGGTGTGCGTAACGTAAGCAGTTTACGGTTACGGAAAGGCCTTACGACTCTACGTTTGGTGCTGAACTGCTTTGTTAGAATTGTGGCTGAAACATTCGCTGTAATGCACTCCAAGATAGCTCAAATAGTTGTTAAACTCTTTTCTTGTAGCTCGGATTCAACCGAACCGCTGAGAGAGTAACATTTGGTTTCGCATCTACCACTCGTCTCCTTTGCAAATTTCGCCCGTCATACACCCAGGCTGGCTCGGAACTGCCAAGCCAGCTTCGTCTACCGATGGGCATTCACATGAAATAGATTTAGGCGACTTGAATGACCAATCCTCGTTTCGTCCTCTGCATCTCCGTAAGACACGTTACGGCGCCGTAATTTTACGATACGGGGCTTGAATAGTAACCGTAAAAGTGAGCCGTAACGGTCCGTAACGTAATTCTGCCCATCTATAATCCCGAGACACATTCATAGGTAGAGAGGACCACGAAGCGACATCCAAATGTTTACGTTGTTACTTACCATCAACACAATACGAGGTAATAGTGAGGAAAAGTAAAACTACAACAACTCTATCGTCGGGATCTCCGAATACCATTTTAACGTATCTTCTACCAAACAACACCAGCAGCGTAGGCGTGACAGCAGCTAATCCAGACGAGTCGTCAACGACGGTTGGATCTGAGCGAAGAGAATTGATACGACCAAAACTTATTTCACCACATAGCCGATCACTATACTTCTTATACAAAATTTCCCGATTTTTTTTCTGAAAAAAAGGTATCTTCCAATTGATGGAAGATTCTTCACTATAACATGTATTTCTATCATATCATATAATAGTGAAGTTTCACAACCCGTCCTACGCCAAGTGGCGTAAAACCCCGATATTTGCCCTATGCAGTAGTCGTGAAATATATTTCTCACTAGTGTTTTTCATATCAAGGCCGCCTGTGAAACTCCAGTATATAGTCGATATTATCACCAAGAGGCACCCCATGTAACGTTAGCTTACCATTTTATAATATAATGGAGTTTCACAACAACCCGTTTTACGTGAAGTGGCGTAAAACTCCGTGAAAAAAGGCGATATTCGCGGAGATATGCAGTAGTCGTGAAATATGTTTTTAACTAGTGTTTTTCATATCACTAGGGTGGTGAAACTCCAATACATAATGATGATATCATCGGCTATCACATGAAACCAGGCACCAATAAAGATCACCATAGGTGGTAATTTCAACGAAGAATCCCCGTGCCCTCTGGCACCAGCGTGAATTTCACCAGCTTCAAGAAGCATCTTCCAATTCAAATAGATCACAACCCACCTCTTTTCTCTCGACGCCGACGATCCCCTCCTCTTCCTCCTCCTAGATCGACCACCACCCGACCTCGACCGTGATGCCGACGCTCTACCACGACGCGGCCTCTCCTTCTCTTCATCATCATCGCGAGAGGACCTTCGAGATCTTCTGCGGGTGTCCGAACGCGACCGACTTCGACGACGACGACGTGATCTCGATCGTTTGCGCGACCGTGAGTCATCTGTCGGGAACATAACCCTTCGCATGCTACTTGAGGTACTCCGAGGCGAGCGGCGCCCATACATTCCCTGTGTGTTCGTTCGTTTAAAATATTTCTCATCTGTTGAGCTCTCGAGACACATACCATTCGGAAGAGCATATTCCTTCTATCCTCCTCCTAAAATGTGTCCCTATCCTATGCCGCGTATTGGCTCTTGTGTTAATATTGTTAGCGAAAGAAAAATGCTAGAAAAATGCCCGTGCCGAGGTTCGAACCCGAAACCAACATGGGTGAATACCCACATCATTGAAAATCTCCCTAAAATTTCAGTGTTGGAATATACGTTCGCTTTCCTCAGCCGAGCTCAGGGACTGCCTCACTGATTATAGGAGTTTATATTCGTACAGAAATCAACGAGAATTTCTCCGAATTTCCTCACAATTTTCAAATCGTTATGTTCGCCGAGCGCCGAACTATGCTATGCAAATGGTTGACAATATGCGCACTATTTGAAAATTTCTCGAACTGCCGAGACGTAACACATTTTTCGAAACTTCAAATTCGTGTGTCGGCGAGCAACGACTTTCCCGACCCACCTCCAGATTCCTTTCTATCATCCTCATCCACTTGCTCTCTTGCTCTCTCTTGACTTTCCTCAACGGCCCCCATTTCCAATTCCTTACCTACATCATTCTTCTCCTCACCTTTCTCCTCCGTAGAACCTCCTGCTAGTACTGCTGACGTCGGCTCAGCAAACTCGGCGAAACTATACGGAATCAGCGCTATCTTCTGTTCGATCTGACAGTGTTGGAAAATGTATGTTTGCGCTTTCCAAAGCAAATTTCTGTTATTCTCTTTTCAGTTACAAGAATCGCCGAAAATTTCCTCAGAATTTCCCTTTTTTCGCCAACACATGTAGTTGACA